ACAACAGTCAATATATCAGGACACCAATAAAACAACATATGTTAAAGGATTAATAAAATAAAAATAAGATTAACACTAGTAAAACAAGTTTTCAGAAAGAGCATGGTAACACAAAGTTAGCAAATTAAAACAGATTTGAATGTGGGGATAGGTCAATATCAGGGATTGGCTTGTGGGAGAAAGAGATGAAGGGCTGCATAGCTGTAGGCTCACGACCCCATAGAGGATAAGCAGACAGGAGGAGGATGGAGGAGGAACATCGGCGAGTGGTGTGATGGAGGTCGGAGAGGTAGGGAAGGTGGGAAGGAGACACTTGCACTTAATGTGATGTTGGCCAGGAAGTTGTTGGAAGACAGGGGCGATGTTTTCTATGGAAGGGGTTCTTGTAAAGATCTGGGAAGCTGCTTTCTGGACCAATTGAAGTTTATGGAGAAGCTTGATATGAAGGCGAGAAAGGAGAGAGTTGCACTAACTGATCTGGTTGGAAACAGTTGATAGTTCGTAGGTGGACATATGTCACCCCAGTGATAATATTGATGGGAGCTTCAAATGCTTGTTTCATTGCTGCTTTGATTTCCTTCTGTGAATATGCCCCACTGTTTTCTGTCCACTGCTGTCATCACACACACTTTGATTGTGCCTTCTCATTTTGTTTAACAAAAACTAAACTAAGCTGAAAACATCAGCCTCCTCCAACCACCTCCAACTGCAGTAACAACCAGCAATCAGCTGTGATCAGCCAGCAGCGGTAGCGTGACATTGTGATTGCCAGTTAGCTTACTATGGCAACCATATATGTATGTTTCAATGAAAGGAAAATCCATTATCACATCATGAGCTGAACTTTAGCTGTATTGTATCTATGGTTGACATATTTCTCAGAATTACCTGGCCGACCACCACAGAACAAAATACAAAAACACATTTTCCAAAACAGAAAACTTAGAGCAGGAAAACACAGGTTTAAACAGCGTTAGTGTTTGGCATAGATTTTTTGTGTACTTTCTTCCACCTATTATGTTCCTGCTGATTATCATTTCCTCTGCATTTCTCAGTGGTCGCTGTGAACAACCTCATCTGGCAGACCAACGCCATGTTCCGTCCGTTCGTGGAGGTCAACGCCGTGGGACCACACCTGGCTGACAAGAAGCGCAAATTCAGCACCAAGACCAAGAACAACAATTGGTCACCAAAGTACAATGAAACATTCCAGTAGTGAGTAACCCTGCCTACTTTCTTTTAGTAACAGATGTGGAGAGAAGAGGGAGAGATGGAAATGATTTATTACACAACATTTATCTGCCTATATTCAAGCCTTGTCCACACTAATGCAGATATTTCGTTATTGGGCCTCTCATCCACATGCTGACAGGGTTTTGAGTCACTACAACAGAGCATTTCAGAATGTATGGTTTCTATGTATGCATGTGTACATGTAAAACCCAGTTTGAGCATTTTAATAATTTTTGTGTTCTCATCTAAATGGAGATATTTTGTAAAATGATGGTCATGTGGACTGAGACCTTTGTTAAAAACTGAGTGTAATCTGTTAAAAAAACTTCTGCAGAAGTGTAGACAAGGCATCAGTCTACAATATGTTGGGCATCATTCTGTACTGTATGCTGCCACACCTCTAATCCAGTCTTCAGTAGCTATCTGCACAAGAGCCTGCAGCAACCTATATGCTGCATAATACCTCTAATACTTTACTGTCAAATCTCCCAATCATTCGAAGCACTGAATCAACTGCAGTTTCCGCACTTCTTCTCTTTTCATTGAAACATTTGTAGAAAGTCAAGAGACTACTTGAGCGATGTATAAGCCTGTCCCCCTGTCGGGACTCTGCTCCTCACAGTCGAGCTCAGAGAAGTGACGTAGCTAAAGTGATCCAAGAGAGTTGTAGCAACATAATCAAAGCAAGCCTATTGCCATCTGCATATAGTTTTACTCCTGGCTTTGTAATTTGAATTTTTATGAAGTCATTAAGTTGCAGGGATAATAATTAGAAACCAGCCATAAAAAATAGAAAAAAGCTGTCACTGAATAAAGACTAACTTGAATAGAAACATTCATTCTGTGGGCAAACATGATTGAGTTGTCCAATCACAGCCACATGAACAGGCTTCTCAGTGGGGAAAAGTCTCAGCCAGTTGCTTCAGTGAGACGTGATACTCAGCTATGAACAAAGCAGTGTCTAAAAAGCAGCTGGTGTGCACTCATGTACAGTTCTGCAGGACGGGACTTGGCTTTATCAATATGTAACAGTTTCCAAAACGTTTTAATTTTTCATTATATACATGTTTAAATTTCACCTCTCTTATCTCGCTTTGTCATTTCTTGCAGTGTTCTGAGTAATGAACATGGTCCAGAGTACTACGAGCTGCACGTTTCAGTGAAGGACTACTGCTTCGCCCGCGAGGACCGCATCATCGGCATGACGGTCATCCAGCTCCGAGAGCTGGCAGACAAGGGCAGCTGCTCAGCCTCCTACCCCCTGATGAAAAGCATCTCCATGGACGAAACGGGTCTCACCATCATGAGGATACTCTCTCAAAGGACCAACGACGAGGTGGCCAAAGAGTTTGTGCGTCTCAAGACAGACACACGCTCAACGGAGGAAGTGTCGTAATGAGCGGGCGAGAATGCAGTATTAAAAAGAGTTGTGTTGTCTTAAGTAAGCGATAGAGGGAGAAAAAGAAGGAGCAGGAGGAGAAAGAGCAGGAGCAACAGTTGTTCTTTCAGGGTAGAGGGTGGAAACAGCAGGAGAAACAGATTGTCCAAAGAGAAGCGGAGGAGGCCCAAATGTGGCGAGGCAGCGGGAGAAAGAGAGAGGGAGAGTTGTGTTTGTTTGTTTTTGTGCATGTGCGTAAAACATCTGTTGGAATGTTCATTTTAAAACTACAGTATGTACAAGTGTTTACTTACCGTATGCTTACTATTAAGTACTATATTCTACAAGTTATGTTAACGAGACATGAAATACCTTTTGTACAACATCTAGTCTTTTTGAACAGAGATTTGTTCCAATAAAGTGCCAAACCAGTGGAAAAAAAGAACAGAACCAACGTATATGAATTATGGTGAACCTAGTATGTTTGAAATTTGCTCGATTAAGTTGTCTGGTGTAAGTCCTTTTCTGACCGTGTGGCGTTCTGATTGTTGCAAAGTCTTTCATTTTGCACCCTCGTTTCTCGGCTTCACGTTCTTCCACAAAGCACTGTTGTGCATGTCCTCTTCTCGGTCATGTCTCTCCCATGATTCCACGGTGACCACAAGCAGGGTCCTGTCCCCTTGCCTTCAAACTGTTTGTATTTTAAGTCGACCTGAAAATAGACCATGTTTTTTTAAATGGCGATGACTGCTATGTAAACCTTCATAGGTGTTTGTAATTTTATAACCATGACAACAATGACGATAGCCTCCAGTGCTAACAGTCTTAGCAGAAAGGATGGAAACGTTTTTTTCCTTTTCTTTGGCTTTTTTTCTTTTTTGTTTTCAGCCATCGGCTTCCAGCCTTTCTGAATGACCACTGTGAACATGAGCTTTGGAAGGCAAGCTTACATGACATTGCTGACAGTTTGATATTATTGTTTCATATTTTTCCGATAACTTTGTTCCTGATAAACTGCCAAAGTTATTTAAAATATTTGTACAAAAGCAATCCATTACATGTATACAGGTAGATATGTACATGTGATCTATTACTTTTTCAATGCTTACTATTTGATTGTTAATATGGTGGTACTAAGATTTTATTTTTTTTATTTCCTGTGAAGCTGTTAACCAATATGAAAGTTGCACATGTTACTTCACACATTAGTTATATCAGCTTCTTTCATTGGAATTATTTTTCTTCATAAAGGAAAGAGTCTAACATTTGGTAAATATGCAACATTCCTATGTATTGCACTGATGGCGAATTGTATGTCATGTAAATATATTTAGTGAGATATTGTACAAAAGTCTACTTTTCTTCAATGTGCATAAAGTATGTGCAAATGTGTAAAGACATCTGGGTCATTTTGAACGATGGTGCCATCAGATTCCCTTTTACACTTCAGCGCAAATATTTATGTTCCGGAGGATGAAGCATCGAGTTAAGGTGGCCGAAATAGTAACATTCATACAAACGCACTGGCTTTGAATCAAAGGAAATCATCTAAATATGTCAAACAGTTTACCAAGGTTTGCATGCACGTCTGTCATGTTTAATCTGAAACAACCTTAAGGAGGTGAAGTGGCTGGTTAAAACAAGGCCCTCCAACATCCTGAGACAAAAAAATAATACAAATGTTCAACATAATTGAATTATACAATAATATTTTACTCATACAATGCTCCTGGTTGACTGTAGGCACCTGTGAGCATTCAAAACAAGATTTTGTATATCAATTGTATTTGGTTAATTTTTGTCTAAATACATAGTACTTCTGGGTGGGCGCCGGGAGCTGAAACTTTTGGAAACCACGGGACTTGAGGCTGCTCTTTAATTGGTTGTTGCAGATTTTCCACAGGACGCAGCTCTATGTGCCCCCGACACTCCCACCTTTACAACCAAAGGTATTCATTTATGTTTTTTTATATCTAATGTGATTGGTCGACCCTCGACGCCGTCTCAGGTACGTCTGATGTCACTGAGTTACTTCCGCTCCAAGCTGACCGGCTTCAGGGGAACTGCAGCAAATCCTTCTTTACAAAAATGACCAACAGGAAAAAAAGAGGATAAAGGAGATTTGTCCGGACCGAATGATTTACAGATTCAGCAGCAAGTGATGAGGACGAGCTTACATCCAGGGCTCCTCCCACACTTGTTTTGAGAAACAGAGGTGACTGGATGTGGTGTAAGTAATGTCTTTTATTGCTTCACCTAAAACATCTCTCTGAAAAATGCAAACAGCGTGGAAGTTGACACAGTCACAATGAGGCTACATTTTCGATGAAGGCTACAGGACTGGCACATTGTGTGTTGCGTTGTTTTTGTTGAGTAAGATGTTGTATGCTGTTGGTATAGTAGCAACATATGTATCCTCCAGTTGTATTCTTCTAGCTGGTATGAAGAGCTACAGAGGTCTGGAAAGCTCGGTTTTCTCATTTGTAAAAAAAAGTATTATCACACGTGCAGTGTCTCTACAAGACCTGTAGACAGAGTTAGATCAGCTAAAATAAAAATAAAATCCAGTCCACCATCAAGCACATTCAACACAATAAAACCATTTATACATTAGTCTTTTCAATGTTCTGAGAGCCTTCAAAGGCCAATTGTACGTTTGTGAGAGTGAATACCCGAACACACAACCACCTTTCTCTAGACTCACACTAAAGAACATTACGGTGTTTGAACAGATAAGGACTATCCCTAGAAATAAAGATTTGTGTGGTTCCATCCCAGTTCCCACATGCACTGCAGCTCCTTCACTGTGTGTGAATTAAAAAACTGCAGCATATAGTGTGAATGAATATGGGTAAATACGACCTGGACTGTAAGGTGCTTTGAGAGATCAATAAGACTGGAAAAGCTCTATATAGATACAGAAAAATATATGAAATGGTATTGAGTTACAGAATCTGAACGGTTTCCTCCTCACATACGTACAGAATATTATAGATCTGCCTTCACATGACAGATTCTGTCTTTTGATGCATATTTTTTAGAGAAAGTCTACAGATCCTCCCACATGATACTGTAAGCCTGTGCACTGAACATGAAGGCCTCGCCAAACTTTTTCTTTTTCTGTGATTTCATGGTGTCTAAGATGAGTGTTTTCACATCAGTTCTGCTCTACTTACTGTCAGTCTTTCTACACCCACAGGAGGAGTACTAAAATAATCCCTTTAAATCTGGCAACATTTTAATGCCACATTTGTTTTTTGTTTTTGTCAATCGGTGAGAGCTCAGAGAGCTGATAATTTCAGCATGGATGTGAGGATGTAGCCAAAAGCATGACAGTGTGAAGCCAAATTTAATAAGTTGAACGCAAAGAAGTGTAACTGAATGAAATTACATTGTAATATCAGAGATGACTGAAAGTAAAATGGCCGCTCAGTGAAAACTGATTATTCTAGCCACAGGCCGTCCCCTGGTCAAAGGCCCCCACACAGTGAATGTAATCACCTAGAACCAGGATATAAGAGGCCCAGACAAAGTAAGTCCATTTGTCAGTGTCACATATTTGTCTTCTCTTTGTACTTGTTGTCGACTTTGTTCAGAAGAGAGCGCCTGGGAAAAAATGAGAGATTTCAAGAGGTTGTCAGAAATAAAACAGATGGGACGGAGCAATAAACCAGTAGATAAACTATAGAATAAAGCAGAGACACAGACAGTGAGTGGACGACAAACATGGGAGAGACTGTTTGTCCTGAGTTGAAATGCTTGCAGAGATTAATACAATTCTTTCACACAGATGTAATGATGATGAGGAGGTAGCAATTTTCCTGATTTCATTTCTTATTGTTAATGATACATTTGTGGTGTCAACCTTTGTATTCAGTTACCATGTAATACATCTATTTTATCTCTGGGAGTGTAAATTCTATTTTTATCATAGACAACACAGATAGCAATGATATCCTGGTGAATATTCTGGGCCATGTTAATCTTTGTGTTTTAATTGGCTCAATATAAACCAGCTTCTTTCCCCCGAGTCCGGCCATTGATCAAAATAAACCATGTTAAGGACCAACAGGACAAATGATTCAAATCAATGACATTACATGGCAATCAACATGATTACATTTAGAGATTGTATAGATCATAAAATTACATGAAATATTATATTAGCTTTTACTAAGCTAATATAACTGATACAGTATAATAGATGTGGACATCAGTGCCCTCTTTGAAATGAAGAGTATAGCCTTGTGGTTGACAAAGGGTCACAAATCAAGTGTCTCAGGTGTTAAAGCGGATCCTCTAGGGTTGGCGGTTCGACCCCAGACTCCTCCACCTGCCTACCGGAGTGTCCTTGGGCAAGATACTCAACCTCAAATTGCCCCTGACAGTTGTGCAAGCAGTGTGAGTGATGTGTGACAGAGAAAGTGCTGCAGATAGATGCACTGTATGAATGAACAGTGATATGTGGAACAAGTCATTTTACCAACTATGACTATAACCAAACATGTCCCGACTAATTCCCAAAAAAGTCTCTCTGCATGAACACATATCTTAGGAACAATTTATCTTATTGACTTCAGACTTACCATGTGTACATGATTGATTTTAAAAAGTTGTGAACTTGGGTCTGAAGATCATGTGGGTTGCTCAACAGACCTCTAAAATAACCAACATGCAATGTATAAAACATAATAGCAGTTTAGTAGTTAGCAGTTTATCATCCAAATGTATATAAAAACCACACACGTAAACAGTATTAAAGCAAATTCAGTTTCACTTTCTGATAAACATTCACTATAAAATCTTCACTGCTGATAAACCAGGGAGGTTGAACACAAAGTTTTCTAACTTGAAGAACGGAAGACTGTGCTTTGATAGTAACCATTGTGACAGTGTGACTATAGACATTTTAAAAAAAGTTCCTAAAACGGAAATTATATCTGAAATAGTGTGTAGAGTTGCTTCATTTTCCATTACTTTCTTTTCCTGTTCCAGTTCTGTCAGTCACGCCAGCTTGTTTCCTCAACATGTAGTTAGAGAGTGTGGAAGCAGGAAGTAATAAGAGGGCCACGTACAGAGAAGTCCATAATGTAGCAGGGGGAAGGAAACACTGTCACATTCTCATGGACTCCCAGAAGAAACTGAAAACAGTGGAGAAAAAAAACTGGACTTGTCCTCCTGTGGAGCTGCCAAGATGCAAAATGACATCAACTCTGACTGCCACAACCTTGAACTCTCATTTGCATACTGTCAATTCCTCCAGGAATGTTTAGTCATCATGCGCAGCACATTTCAAATGGATGGTGGGCAAATTATAAAGGTCTGACAATTAAAAAGTAAAATGAAGACCGTGATGTTAACCTCATGGGTGTGCACACACGTCAAGCAGCCGACCTATTGTGACTGATTTCTCTCTCAAACGATATTTACTGGATTAAATGACTAAGATAAAGCCCAGAGGAATTCCCATCGGCAACTAATTGAGCATATGACAGGCAGATAAAAACAGCGATGAAGCTCAACAATATAACAGCCACATTATCCAGAAGTTATGGGGCACATCAACACATGTGTGATAATATATGTATGAGCTCTTGTGTATGAGTAACAAGCTAAAAAGACAAGATGCACTTGGCCTGGACTTTCCTTTGTCCTTCAAATCATGGGGCTGTTTATTCTTCGGGGGAAGATTGATTGCGTTCACCTCAGGAAAAGGATTACTCATTCACAACAGGACCTTTTTTTAACCAGGCTGAAGATCCGATCCTCCAGACACAGTGTACGTGTTTAAGTTGATGGTCCAACATGATGCAAAGTACAAGACAATACAACCTGATCTAGTTCTATACATAAAAAAATATATAAATGAAATATTAGAAGTTTTAAAAATAGCATAGTAAAACAAAAAAACTAAACTAAATTCAACCACTAAATAAACTACTAAGTAAAGCTGAAGGATGTGGCATAGACATGATACCTGTTCTGCTGTATTTGATTGATTTAAGTAATAGAGCAAAAGTAGAGTGGTTCTCCAAGGAGAAACATATATTAAAGACACTGCTCTACAACAAGAAACATTCAAATAACCATATTATATCTTCCTATGAGAGATATGCAAATGTAACTTTGATTATGGATTTTAATGTTTCAAACAGGGTGAACATGACTTCAGAAACCCAGAGGACACCTGCATCGGTGGTTTTTATTCATTTCAGCACTTTTGGGTGTTTGACCTGAGGGGCGACATGATACAGTGGTAACATCAGAACTGGTTTGAATCCTGGGTTCATTGTGTTTATATACTCCAAAGACATGACTTTATATGTTCTC